AAAGATACTTTTTTTTTATTTTTAGTTTTTTTCTTAGAAAATGAAGAGTTTACTACTATTTAATTCTTTATATATAGGTTTATTTAATTTACAAATATGCTTAAAAAATATAATTACTCAATAATACTAGTGACCAGAGAGTGTAATCTTCATGTCTTGCGAAAATTTTCCTTTCCATCATCATCATAAATTATTCTTTCCATTTGCCATGTGAACTGTAAACTTTGTAATTGAATATATAAAAGTACACCGCCAATTTACATTCCACCGCCAATTATGTAACAACTTGGACTTACAATACGATCTAGCACAGGCCGTCTCTCCATGTGTTGCCTGCTAAATTTATCACCCGAACTTTTGACGAGGTTGTCGGAGTACCTGAAAATAAATAAAAAATTAAGCAAAAACTTTATAATAGTGTTATATAATTTATCGCTTGATGGCAATTACCTTCAAACTCTCCGTCAACCTCCTTCAATAGGGCGGCTGATAAGAACATCAAGGTGCCCAGAATTAAATCTGATAGATTCCTTTTTCATTTTCTTTAGTTTCTCTCGCCTTAGCCAGTTATTTCCGACTTTGGTGATAACATTCGAAGACTGGAAAAATATAATAAAATCAAATATAAAATTATTATTCATACCATCGTTTTACGGTTTTTTTTAATTTTATATTTCTTCAATTACCTTTTTCGTATCACGGTTGGCCATGATATTGACACCATTATCCTTGTTGTTAACCATTATTATCGATCCTTTTTTGTCAAAAGCTTCAAGGAGTGTGCAACAACAATATTAATTTGTACTTGCCGATTAGTTTTATTTAATATTTAAATATTTAAACTGTAGAATGACTGCAATAATCTACAAATAAAATTATAAAAGGTAAAATACTCCGCATAAATAGTTAATACTTCCTTACTTATTCATTTTTTACTAAGATATTTTCTTAAAATACAAGATTATCAATTAATAATTAAATGAATTAGAAAAAAAAGTCCAATGTTATCGATTTAATACATGCACATGCGCATAGCGCATCTTTGCAGCATCTGCGTAACTTCAAAGTAGCAAGTGGCGCTAGTGGATGGCGTGTAGCGGACAAAAAAGAGGACAAAGTGTCTACCGTCTGAAATAAAATCTGATGCTAATGATCAGCTTTTATTTCAGATATCCATCAAATTTAATGATAAAGAACTAGTTACATATATTTACAAATTTGTATACTACTTAGTCAGAATTTAACGTTCAATCTTTGCTAGCGTAAGAGTACCTACACGAAAAGAAATCGTTGCAGAGTCCTACTCTATGTTACACTTCAGTACATTTTGAATTAAAAAAAAATATCTTAATACACCCTTCAAAATTGTAAACAAACAAGTTTTTTACGCCGTGGTAACGGATAAATGTGTGTACCAATCAATACTTGCACATGCGCATAGCGCATCTTCGCAGCATCTGCGCAACTTCGAAGTAGCAAGTGGCGCTAGTGGATAGCGTGTAGCGGATAAAAAAGCGGACAAAACGTCTATTGTCTGAAATAAAATCTGATGCTGATGATCCCTCAAATTTAATGATAAAGACGTTGGTTAAATATATATATACAAATTTGTACGCTACTTAGTTAGAATTTAGCGTTCAATCTTTGCTAGCGTAAGAGTACCTACACGAAAAAAACGAACAATCGTTGCAAAGTCCTACTCTATGTTACACTTCAGTACATTTTGAATTAAAAAAAATATCCTAATAAACCCCTCAAAGTTGTAAAAAAAAAAACAAATTTTTTACGCCATGGAACGGATAAATGGTGTTCCGCCATTACAAGCGGGTCGTCTGTACCAATCAATAATTGCACATGCGCATAGCGCATCTTCGCAGCATCTGCGCAACTTCGAAGTAGCAAGTGGCGCTAGTGGATAGCGCGTAGCGGACAAAAAAGCGGATAAAGTATCTATTGTCTGAAATAAAATCTGATGCTGACGATCAATTATCCATCAAATTTAATGATAAAGATGTTGGTAAAATATATACTATATACGAATTTGTACGCTACTTAGTTAGAATTTAACATTCAATCTTTGCTAGCGGAAGAGTACCTACACGAAAAAAACGGACAATCGTCGCAAAATCCTACTCTATGTTACACAAAAGTACATTTTGAATAAAAAAAAATCTTAATAAGCCCGTCAAAATTAAAAAAACATGGTTTTTACGCCGTGGTAACGGATAAATGGTGTTCCACCATTACAAGCGGGTCGTCTGTACAAATCAATAATCGTTAAAATTTTAATTAAATGTCTTTTTTACTTACTATTTCTAACAAACATAAAAAAATTGTCATGTTACAATAATATTCGCGCAAATATTATATTATTATATATCATCGCAACGTCTTATGCACTATCTGACCTTCTATGCAAAGTATCTTAAGAAACATACATATTTCTTACCATTCGATGCCTCTGGTCTCCAGCAACACACTTAACTACTTTAACAACAGTTATTATAATCTAACAATAAGTATAACTAGACATCAAACCAAACTAAAAGGAAATAAAATTTACAGTATACGCCATCATAGTGTCAGAGCAGAAAGTAGAATGCCTAGGTCTAGCCCGGCTAGATTTCAGCCGGGCTACGCGCATGCTCCTTGGTGGTGGTTAGGGTTAATAAGAATTTATGGATTTCTTCTTTGTCTGATTATAACGCCATCTATGTAACATAGTCAGTATTACTTGGCTGAAATTATGCAATCCACAAATCTACAGTATTAAGTTTCATGCTAGAGCAAAACTTAAAATGTTATGCTTATTGATTTTTTGTTACCGGTTCTTAATGGCCCAATTAATAGCACTAAGAATTAGCAGGACATTCCATAACATCATTCTTACAGAATATTTGAAATACGTAATCTACACATATAATAAAAAAGTAACTTAGCGAAATCTGTACATGTAATATTTAAAAAAAAATGACTATATCGTATTGTACTCAACTCTAAATTGGATATTGAAATGTCACGTCAAATAAAATTAAGATAAAATACTGAAAGTGTCTTAGAAGACGATCCTGTGCTGCTTTCAGAAAATGCTATTTTTTTTATTTTTTGTCAATTTCAAAGCTTAATTGGGACAAGTCAGATAAAACAATATTTACAATTTCTATGCTAAAATTGCATGAGAAGGACTAGTGAAATACAGTTTAACGCAGCATTCACTAAGGTCATTGCAATAGACTTTAAAAGTTATTTTGTTTTTTTTTGTTTCTCTCTTTTCAATCCTGATGGGCATTATTGTTTATATCTCATAATAACTTTGATATGAATATTCTTAAGAATATTAATCAAAAATAATGTTTTTCTTTAGTGAATAAAATGCAAGTGACATCCAGATCTTTATTAATATTTAAAATGCCTTGAAGTTACAGATATTTTTAGTATACATATAACTATTCTAACTAGTATAATAAATACTTCCTCGAACGTCGAACCTCGAATGCTGTCCAGAAGAAGTTTCTCGCGCCTTCCCAAATTGATCTTAAAACTTTTTTTAATCGTTCAATTCATAACGCTTCTGAAGATCAATTTATTCCTGACTTATGTGTCTCTGTCCATCAAGGCCTTCTCAAGGACGGCTAAATAGTCCGATATAAATTTTTATTTTAACACTAAGTTTGTAGTAAATTATACCTATCAAGAATATGTTCTCGTTAAAAAATAAAAATTTGGCATCAATAAAGTTACATCCACCAAATTTATCGATTTTTTATGAAATTCACACCTCTAGAGTACGATGCTTTATGTCTAGTGCTTTAAAACAATAATAACTACTCAACTAAATTAAATGTAAACAACAACAAATGCTTAATATTCTTTTTCCCTAATAATGATCTTGTTCTTTTGAAATTAATAGGTACTTAACATAATTTTTGAATTATTTCTACAAAATAAAAAAAATAATATGTTATACTTTACTTAAATCGACCAACATGTATATCTACGTACAGAAATTTCAATATTAATAATAAGATAAAAAGGTACAATTATATTATAATTTGTTAACAAAATAAAATGTATTACTGGTAATCAGTAGGTTTTATAGCAAAGGAAACACGTAGGTATAACTGCTACTGTAACATTTAACATTTAATTTCTTAACTTTATTATTATTAAAATTAGACTGAGTCATATACTTAACTATATAGATGTCTATATTTAAGTATACGCCTCAAAAATAAGGGTCGGGAAAAACTACTCAGAAATAGCACGACAATAAAATTGACCTGATGGTCCTTCCGCTATTTTCTACAGAAAACAACATTGTTTTAAACATTTTATTGTTTTCTGATACTAACATTTATAAGAGATATCTGTGCGAAAAAGAACAACAATTAAAGGTTCCATTGATTTGAAAAATGTAGTAATTACTTAAAAAATTAACTTAAAATTATTACAATCGTTCAACGTTATACATAATATTTTATGGATAATTTAGAAAATAAAATATTTGCATTGATAATATTAGAATGACAAATTATACATACAAAGATATCCCGTCATAATCTAGTAGTACTTATAATTAATATGGCTACACAAATATAATATGAGCGTATGTTATTTTTAATACCTATAAATAAATTGCCCAGTTAAGAGTTCAAGGGTACACTTAAAACTTTTACTAACATTTAAGCACATTGGATTTTTATAAATAAATATGATAAATCATCAAAATATTGTTACAAAATGTGTTTAGAGTTTTAATTTGATTTTTTCTAAAATAAATAATTATACCGTAATCTCAAAACATAATAAAAGTAGATTTTTTTCAACAATTCAAAGAAAATGCACCCTAAGATCAAGAGTAATAAAATTTATAATTTTATTAAAAGGATAGCTTATTATAAGATAGCATATAACTAAATATAATGTATAAATTTTCCCAAAATATAATATTCAGTAATAATCAACTATCTTCTTGATGATGATGAATATTTAAATACTTAAGGTTTATAAGTATCATGAGGTTCCGGAGGCGGAGAGGTCTGAAAAAGCAAAAAAAAGCAATGTAAGATAGTGATAATCACTTCATAAATAAAATGAATGTTCCATATGATGAAAGTGTTCGTTAATCATTTTAAAAATGTAATAGTATAAATACTCACCAATGAAAAGTCTGTATCAAATGTCATCGGATCAATATCGTATAGATGGCGCATGTGCCTCTCATCATTCGCAGCGCCATGCACCATATTCTGAAAAATAATATTTATATTTATAGATATAATTTATATTTATATATAATATAAGAAAAATATTAACTCACGATATTATCCATGGCGTGGGCTAGATCATGTAAATGATCTTCGTTATTCGAGTCTTCATCTACTAAGTCGTTAGGAGCAAACGGCAAAGGTGGAACTGGAGATGATGATCGCCCAGCTCCTAAAAATTTTTTTTTCCAATAACTACATCAGTAAATATGAAAATAATAAATATACTAAAGGTATATTAAAACTCCTAGTAAATACCCGCAACTTGTCCAACACCCTCGCGTGACTCTGAAGCTGACCGATTTTCCCTTTCCACCCGAAACCGTTCACCTGTGTAATGTCAACATTTTATAATTAAAATTACACCAAAAAATTAATTACTATTCTTAAATGTTATGTATTAACATAACCAAATAATTGTGTCAATATTAAAATACTGTATTATTAAATAGTCACCTTCTGCCTGTACAGGACCATCTCGTGATTCTGAGGCTGACCTGTATTCCCGCTCCGCCCTAGACCACTCACCTGCAAAAATTATATAATATAATCTATGCAAAAGTGTATAAATAATTTGTCTGATGTCAGTAGGGTCTTTAATTTATTTTTGTCTTACCAAGGTAATATCTACCAACAGGCCCTGGTTGAGCTCCTTGCACACGATTCCTTGGAAACGGTATGTTTACGTCGAAGTGAAGATTATCCTGAAAAATAATTAAAAATTAATATACATGTAAAACTAACAAAGAAAATTAATAGAAATATATAAAAATATTATACAAACCACAAGTTCCTCTTCAGAGTATGTTTCATTCATTGGTTCATCGGGATTCATCCCGGCGTTTTCATTTCTATCGCCCATGCTTTTATCTATGTACTATTTTTGTCTCTTAGGCTGAAAATAATTTTTTTTTCATAAATAAAATCTAATATTCATACAATGCACAGTTCCTGAATAAGAATAATGTGGGACATTTATTTATCTAAAAAGGATGTAGTAAAAAAAAATAGAGCATAACGCTGTTTCTAGAGAATCGATAACTACACTGTCTAAAGAAACAATATACATACCTACATATATTACAATATAATGTTAAAATATAATTACATCTAAATTGTCGCACAGAAATCGCAACGGCACAAACACATAAAACATTCGCATTTAATTATATATGTACAATAAGAAATAAAGTTATAACTAAATTAAAAAATGGAATTATTCAACAAAATTTTACCTTATAACCACTGTCAATAAACACCAAAATCACTAAAATCGCAAGTGCACTTTAAAACGCGAAGCAAACTTTTCAGTTAATCAATCTTAGTACTTATGAAATTTTCGCACTTTAGCTAGTCGATATAAGCGTCGTCTTAGTAACTGCGCAGTAATTTGAATGCCTAGATTTTCCCTGAGCTAGATTCAGGCTACGTGCGCATGTCTGGTTTGGTGGGGTGGCCCCCGTTACAGGCCGCGAGCTCGAAGTTTCAGGAATATGACGCTAGAAAATTCGATAGGGTCGTACAGCGCCCCCTGTGTATTTTTCTCCATAACGCCTACATCAAAGAACATGTAATATTGCTAGTTCATTCTATTACTTTTAGAAAGACTTTGACGTAAGCTTTGCATTGTAAAGACTTGTAAGCTCATTTTCGTTCACTTCCATATTAAATAAAATGAAAATTTTAAAAGGCACTATTCGGCTATTTGTAATCATACTGCAACGAATAATCGATGATGCGAGCTATTTTTAACCCTCCACGCCTACTTTTCTTGCGAGCTAGGTCACGTTATATATTCCGTGGACCGAAATTTGTAATTGAAAATTATTACCTTAAAATGTATCATTGTGGATATTTTTAAATATCTCTTAATCTAGTATTTCTAGAATGATTGAAGCTAAAGAAAAAATTAAAAACATATAGGTACTAGAGTAAACGTAGAAATGAGAGTGAGATGTATAAGAATTATAGTTAATACAAATTTCAAAATAAATAGTTATTTCTTATTATTATTTATTTCATAAAGAAGCCCAGAAAATTTTATAACTAACCTAAACTTTTCTTAACGTCGGGAAATGTTAACGAATGTATACAGGTGGTTATGCGGTTCTCACCAGCTAGAAAAGCCAGTACTACCCACTCACTAAAGCCCAACAGAATCTCACTATTCTTAAAGACGCGTCGCAGGATCGCTTACGCACTCAACCTCGATCTTATTTTTTTTGACACTAGGAAAACCTTCATGAGATCCCTGCCGGCTTCATGAGAACGGCCCGAACTACGCGGACCAACTCACCAAATTCGGGATATACCAAATAAATTCCTCCTTTATGAAATGTAATCAGTCCCCAGTGAAAACTCCGTTTGGCTCAATTTATAGTGACCCTACTTGCATTGCCAGCGGTTGCGGGTTCGAGTCCCGCTGAGGGCAGCCATGTGTGTGTTGAGCACGAATGTTTTCACTCCAGTCATGGGTGTTTATATTTATATTATTTATGTATTTAAAGTTATATATGTCTAGTGTATCAACTCTCTGGTATCACAAGCCTCGTAACTTACCATGGAACTAGATGGTGCTGTGTGTTATTGTCCAAAAAAAATCTTCTCCGTGTCTTCTCCATTCTACACGACATTAGAGAAGTAAACTGTGCCCAAATGGCACGCCTACAAACTACAGAACCAGGAATTGAATTGAAAATTACCATACTGTTGCTGTTGACATAATATGTTTAATTTAGTGGAAAACATTAATAGTTAAATATATTGTCCAAAAAAGTAAGCATAAATATCGTGCTAATTTAATTTCCTTTTTTAAGTTACTGCGTGTTTTGCTACATAATATTTATACTTGTGTCTGAAACCTGGCTTAAACCCTCACTCCCATCGACTTCTTATTCTCTTCCAGGATATCAGTTCTTTCGGAATGACCGTACTGGTCAGAGTGGCGTAGGTATTTACCTACGCAGCAATATTCCCGATTTTAAGCATATGGATCTGGATCGTTTGAGAAAAGGTGCTAGAAATATTCACTGGTCATCAACATTGTCAGTGAATAACATCGATAGCATGGTTGACTCTTTAACTGCTGAGCTGATTAGGTTGTATGACAAGCACGCTCTGGACGTCAGGCCGGTACGAATGAAACACGTTCCTGCTCCATTGCTATCACTGTGATCAAGAGGACTATGGCCAAGCGTGATAAAGCCAAATCTAAGAATCTAAAGCATCCATCTGCCGAGAATCTTGATGCATACAAAAATTACGTAATATCAACAACAGAATGTATAGGGATGCCAAAGGCCGCTATATTCACTCAATGATTCAGGATCTTTGTCAAGCGCAAGTTTGGAGATTCCTATTATCGCTAGGTGTGGGCAATACCGCAGAAACTTGTCAAAGTTCTGTGTATCTCAATGTTTTAAACTATCATTTTACCGTTCCACCCATCACTTTAGATTTGCATACAAAACTGGAACTCTTTCATTTTTATCGAACCTTGCTCCCCCTGACATACCACCATTTGTCTTTGAACTAAAAAGTCTCAGTAGATGATATAAAGAAGTGTGTCTGCTCTATTTCATTTATTTTATTTCATTTTTATTATTTATTATATTAGTAATGATGACCTCAGCCACCGCAACCAGAATCATGGCAAGGTTCTTCCGGTACTGGAGGATGAAAGACGCTGGAGAGACTAGGGGATAGAGAGATCAGAAGTCAGTTATCCATTTCCCACCCACTACATCCAAACCAACATGCATATAGCACAGGAAAATCAACTGAATCTGCACTCCATAGTGTAGTCTCTCGCATAGGTGGTTCGTTGAATCTAAAGCAATCAACCCTAGGTGCCTTCATTGACATAGAGGGAGCTTTCGATAAAACGAACTTCTCTAGCATTAACAGAGCTCTGCACTCAAATGGTGTAGCCACAACACTCATAGAATGGATAAATAACATGTTAAAACAACGGGCTATACAGTTTACTGTTAACACCACAACGCGTGGCATCGTCAATAAGGGCTGCCCACAGGGCGGAGTTCTGTCCCCACTACTGTGGAACCTTGTTGTTAACGAGCTAATAACAGAGCTAAACAACAACAGCCTTTATACGGTGGGGTACGCTGACGATATAGCCATCCTAATCAGGGAACTTTGAAAGCACCTTATGCGACCTAATGAGGAAAGCCTTCAGAATAACAGAGAACTGGTGTCGTAAACACGAACTCTCTGTCAATCCCTTAAAGACCGAATTGATCATGTTTACCAACCGAAGAGTTCCCGGACCTTACAGACTCCCGAAACTCTTCAACACAGAACTAAAACTTAAGGATGCAGTCAAATACTTGGGTGTAATTCTAGACAGCAAACTGCTCTGGAACAAGCACCTTGACTACAAACTCAACAAATCAACTATTGCCTTTTATCAATGTAAAAAGATGCTAGGCAATAAATGGGGCCTTTCGCCGAAAATAACGATGTGGTTATACACTGCCGTAATAAGACCAATGCTAACCTATGGGGCTCTGGTTTGGTGGACTAGAACGGAACTCCGGACTACAATCACCAAATTAGCACGCTTCCAAAGGCTGGCATTGTCTGCTACCAGTGGATCCATGAAAACAACCCCCACAGCAGCAATAGAGGTTGCGCTCCAGACTACACCCCTGGACCTATTCATACAGCAAGAAGCGACTATGGCTGCTATAAGACTGATGCATTTAGGTCTATGGGGTAAAAACCACCATAGTCCACACACATCCATACTGGATAGAGCAATAGGACATGAACCACTTATTGCTGCCCCGTGTGACAGAACACACAATAAACATATATTTAACAAAAGATATAAAATAACTATGAGAGAAGAGGAACAAGACCACTCACCTGCCAATGAGCTACGGATTTATACCGATGGCTCAAAGACACGTGAAGGCTCAGGAGCCGGTGTATTTTCCCGTGATCTCAACATTAAAATACAAATACCATTAGGCATACACAGCTCGATTTTCCAATGCGAATGTGTAGCCATAACGGAAGCGGCAAGAACCGTGCACAGTCGTGGAGTAAACAACTACAATATAAAAATACTCTCCGACAGTGCAGCAGTTCTGCAGGCGCTAAATAACAAACAAACTAACAACAAACTAATAAGTGAATGTCATAACGCCCTGGACTTGATATCAACAACAAATCAAGTCACCCTTCAATGGGTCAGGGCACACAGTGGTTCACTTGGCAATGATACAGCTGACGAACTCGCAAAGATGGGGTCAAAACTAGAAGTGACTGGCCCACTCCCGCTTCTCCCCATACCCTTTGCACAGATTCGCACCTGGATCCGCCAAAGATCCACGACATTACAAAACAACAGATGGTCACAAACTGCAGACTGCAGACAATCTAGATCAGCGCTGCCTGCAGTAAACCCACGACTTACAAAACGCTTACTAAACCTCAGTAGAACAAATCTCAAAATAATGATAGGGACGATAACGGGCCACTGTCCCTTGAACAAACACCTACATAACATCGGCGCAACGGACACCCCTCTGTGCAGAGGGTGCCTCGGCGCTGAAGAATCAGTTGCCCACGTAATCCTGGAATGCGTAGCGGTAAGTTCTCAACGTGAAGAAATCCTCGGACCAGTGAGGTCGCTCCGCGAAGCCTGTGAAGTTCCCAGGAAACTTCTGCGCTTCTGGGCGGAGCTAGGCTGGCTAATATAGCCAGGATTCGCACGCACAACGGACCAGAAGAGAGTCTAAGTGCGGAAAACGAGTCCACTTTACATTACATTACATTACATTTAACTACTTATTCACACGCAATATCTTC